AAGGATGTGGAGAAACTGGAGCATGTCCAAAGGAGGGCAACTAGAAAAGTATTTGTTTAAGAATGTTTATAATTCAAGATGTGAGTGCGTGTGCGTGTCTGGCAATGGTTTTAGGAGATGTTTTTTAGTATGTTTATACTGCTTTTACAATGTAACTCCTAGATATGGAAACATGGATCTGTAAATTCTTTTTAACTTTCAACAACAACAAGTTGAGATCCTTTGGTTTTGGGACTGTTAAAGATGTAATCTCTCATGGCTGAACTGCCCAACCCTCCTGCCCGAAAACCTCATAGTCCCCCCACATCCACCTCCCAGGACTGGAGCTATTAAAGCCCCAAGGAAGCCGGTCTCTGCAGTTATCCCCTGCAGTGCCCCTGATCCTCCAATTCCCGTGATCCCTCCACCTAGCCAACAGATAGTAGCCACTTTAAAGCCAGATTTTTGGGGACACCTGACTGTAAACGTAAGAGTGGGGTCCCAAGACAAACCCAAGCCAGCCACTTTACTTGTGGATTCAGGTGCTGCAGTCAACACACTTCACCCTAAATTAGCCGCTGTATGGAGTAAGACACAGGATAGCATGGAGCTAATAGGTTTTGGGAGAGACATCCCCATCCATTTAGGGCCCATCTTAGACTGTATCAGGGCATGTGAGAACCAGGGAGAGGATGATGGCATTTTAGGAGCAGGATTTTTAAGACAGAACCGCTTGACCATTGATTTGGCCAACGGTTTCCTGTGGCAATTGGAGGAAGGTCCCCCTGTAACATCAGCTATACACCGGTGTGCTGCTTTAAAAACACCAGCACCCCTCTACCCCATTTTAAATGATCCATGGACAACAGATTTCCCAGATGTTTAGATTAAAGACAAAATGGAATGTGGCAAAGTTAAAGGAGCATGTGTGCTCATAGAATGAAAAGATCCACCCCCACAGAAACAGTATAGGTACCCCAGTGAGGCAGAGGAAGGGATAGCAAAAACCATAGAAGGCCTCCTGAAATACAATGTAATACTCCCCATGCAGTCCATTTGCAATGCCCCCTTATGGCCAGTGCTTAAAGCTGACGGTGTCACATGGCGAATGACCGTGGACTTTAGAGCCCTTAATGCGGTCACTTCCCCAGTAGCCCCTGTACTAGTCAAGTACAATGAAACTTTAGCCGCCATTGCAGCCAGAGCCAAGTTTTACAGTGTGATAGATCTAGCAAACGTCTTCCACTCCATCCCACTCCATGAGATCTGTTTTTACAAATTCGCATTCAAGTTCTGCGGGAACCAAATGTGCTTCAAGAGGGTCCCACAAGGTTTTCACTCCAGTCCATCAATTTGCCATTCCCACGTGGTCAAGATGTGGACCAAGTTGTGACCCATGTCGCGCTCCCATGTCTTGTCCTATGTGGATGACATTTTAATACATTCAGACTCCCAGTTAAAGACTGCAGACATCTTTTCCTGACAGCCCAAGGGATCTGAAGGTCTGTCCTGGCTCTCTGCGAGCCATGGGATCCTGGGCATCCCTAACCTGATTGACTGGGGTTCTGCATCTGGTTCTGGGGTGTAGGGGCATTAGGGTTGGTGCTGGGTCCATTGGGGTCTTGCCCGCCTAGGGCTTGGAGCAGTAGCTTGGTGAGCTCATGCGTGGGTCAACCATGAAGGTCCACTACGGGATATCCTAATTCCCTTAGATGCCTCCAAATAGGGCTCCTGATTTCCTGCACGGGGGCCCTTCCATAGTCAGGGTTATCAGGTCCTCTGGGGTAGCTTCTTAAAGCCTCTCCTAAAAGAATTGTTGTTGGGGAGCCTTCCTGGTTCACTGGATATGGGCTGAGAATGGGAGCCGGTGTTCCAGTATCTAAGTGCGTGGACCAGTTCGCTATCTCTATCTGTCTTCCTTCCTAGGCTGCGGGGAGGTTTTGCTGAGTTTGCTGCCACTAAGCTCTTAGCCATATCTTTCTGCGCTTCTCTAGTCCAAAAATCTGGGAAGCTGCCTGAATATGCTGTAAAAATCCTTGCCAATCTATGGTGCTAAGTTGGTGGTAGGCGGGACCTAGGTATGTTTTAGCTGCCTCATTTAAACCTTGGTACACCTCTTTTATAAAATCAGTACAGTTCAAAAGTGGCATCCCATCACAGTTAAGGCTAATTTCTCCTGCTAGGATTGCTAACATTTTCTTCCTGTCTACATAAGTGTCTGGGGCTTTGTCTGGCTGCTGTACCTCATTGTGATATTTCGCCCTTATGGTAGTGCCTGCTCTGCCCTATCTGCTCTCTGCATTGCTTCATGGGCTCTCCTAGTGAGATCCATGTTCTCTGTTACCTTGTCCCTTGCTTAGGTCACCAATTCTCTTATTTATTTTTGGGACACCTCTACCTCTATTACACATATCCATTCTTTTAATTCTAAATTTGCCAGATCATAGTTGGAAACTGCGGTCTTGAAGAGGCCTAAGTAAGCGGGATCTATGATCAGCTTTGCTATCTGTGTAAGGTCCTGTCCTTTAGCTCTTGGATATGAAAAGATGATGTTAGACATCCATCGGACTCCTGTTTGGGGATTTAGCCTTCCCTGGTGGTCTGCTAGGGCTTTAATTTCTGTTAGTGACTATGAGACCATCTCTTCCACTATCTTAGTAACTGTGCCATCTTCTGAGGTGGCTTTTGTTTCTACCATACTCCGGGTTTTAACTGGATCCATGGGTATGCCTGGAGTGCACCCCTCCGTGGGTTCATTCCCTTTTGGGGGACTCCATTGGGGATTGTAGGGTAGGGGAATCCATGCCTCTACTGGCAATGGGCTCCCCTGAAGGACGTTGGCTTGTGTGGCTGATTCTAAAATATTAGGTTGCACTGTGGCCACGAGAGGGTTTTTCAAATTCACTTTGCTTTCTAACTCTCTAATTCAGGCCTCGCAGATGGTGTGGTCGGCTTGGGCTGCCGCTTCTGTCTTTTGGACCAATATAAAGTCCGTGGCTTGTTTTGCCTGGCCCAATTAAAACTCTAATTCCACCAATTTCTGCTTAAATGCAACGTTTTCCTGCTCTGCCCTATCTGCTCTCTGCATTGCTTCATGGGCTCTCCTAGTGAGATCCATGTTCTCTGTTACCTTGTCCCTTGCTTAGGTCACCAATTCTCTTATTTATTTTTGGGACACCTCTACCTCTAATTTATATTTTTTTTTTGTACTTTTCTAAGGCATCATGGGCTAGGGTCCAGATTCCCCATGATGCCAACCTATCTTTTTCGGACTGTGGGACACTCTTAAGTCCCTTCTTAGCGGTCTTGATATCGTAGACCTCTAGCAGGGTCAAAAATGGATCATCTGTCAAGAACACCCCTGGAATCCAGGGATTGGGCCCCTTCTTGGTGATCCACCTCTGTAGCCTGTTCTGCACCTTCTCCTCCCTGTAAATTTGCACCATCTCCATCTCCCAATTCTCGTGATTTCTCCTAAACTGCACTGGCGACACTAGAGCTTCCTCACCCTTACCAGTTTAAACCTTCTCCATCTACCAGATTGGCTGCATTAGAGATCTCCTGCCCCTCACCAATCCTTTCCTGTCTGCGCTAGGGCTTTCCTCGCCCCTGACCAGCTTTCTCTAGACCCACCGGCTTCTCTAGGGCTTTTCCTCACTCCTCACCAGCTTTCTCTAGACCCACTGGTGGTTCTCTTAAAACACACCAACTTTTCTAGGGCTCTCCCACCCCTCACCAGCTTTCTCTAGACCCACCGGCTGCTCTAGGGCTTTTCCTCACTCCTCACTGGATTTCTCTAGACCTACTGGTGGTTTTCTAGACCAACTGGCTGCACTGGGACTCTCCTGCCCCTTGCCAGCTTTCTCTAGACCTTTCCTTAGCTCCACTGGCTGCACTGGGACTCTCCCGCCCCTCTCCAAGGTTCAGTTAGCTGCTCTAGGCTTCCTTGCCCTCTCTAACCTTTGCCAGCCTTGC